TGATCAATTGTCGCAAAAACCCATCTGGTTCACTAATGTCCTTTAGGGAAGGAAATCTGCCATCCTTACCTGATCTGGCCTACATGTCACTCCAGACCCACAGTAAAGTGGTTGACACTTAACTGCCCTCTGGGCAATTAGGGATGGGCAATAAATGCTGCCTAGCAGCGACACCCTCATCCCGTGAATGAATAAAGAAAAAAAAATTCAAAAAACAGTTACTGTTAAAGGGATAAGACAGATCTTTGGACTATTTAATTATTGCAGGAGCTTTGTAGAAAGTTACAGCGAACAAGCCAGACCCCTCCAAGACTTTACCAAAATGGGGGTGGGCTAGCACAGAGAAGATTGATTGGGGACCTGAGCAGGAGACGGCCTTTGTCAGGATCAAACAAACACTGGCCTCTGCACCAACACAAGGGTTCCCTGACCTGAAAAAGCCCTTTCACCTCTTTTGCAGTGAAAGCAATGACAATCAATCTGTAACAGTGTTACAGAGACATGGAAACAAGCTCCAGTCTGTGGGATTCTACTCAGTCATCCTGTGTGCTACCTGGGCACTAACGACATCCGCCCCTTGACACAACTAGGGAAGGTGATATTACACTCTCCACATGGTATGTTCCAGCTATTCGAAGCTGGCAAACTGAGACGTGTTACAGACAGTCGGCAAGTCAGATGGGAAGCCACACTATTGCCAGGAGACAATCCCGTGGAAATGGTTAAAGATAATAGAGAGAACCCAGCAAACTATGTGAATCAGTAAGGAGATACACATGATTCTATTCCCCCTCATGAAGCAGGAAGAAAAAAGACAGGGTCAAGTTAAGGAAGAGCCATTAGAAGGGCCTTCTGTGAAATGCATGTTTGGAGATGGGGCGTGGAAGTATTATGATGGTGAGTCTCGGACAGGGTGGGCTGTGGTTAATTTGAAAGGGGAGCTTTTAGCAGAGAGAGAATAGAAGGATGTCACTCCACCCAGGTAGCTGAACTGAAAGTGCATACTGCAGCCCTGAAGTTAAGGAAAGAACAAAGTGTTAGCATCCCACAGACAGGAAGTGCCTTCGGTCTGATCCATGACTACAAGATGGCATAGGCAAGTCAAGGTCACGTAACTTCAAGTGGTAGTATAATTCAGCATGATACCTTAGTCACGGTCCTCGTGGCCACAGTTACTGGACCAAAGAAAGCAGCAGTGATTAAAGTAAAAGCACACAGAAAGATTCAGACACCAGAGCAGAGAGGGAACGACTGCGCAGATAGTGCAGCAAAAAGCAATGGTAGAACAGGAAGTGATAACATAGCGACTATGAGAGAACAAGAAGTCAAAGATGATGAACGGAACATGTTAAATTTGCAAGTAGCAGCTAGTTCAGAGGAAAAAGCAGAACGGATTAAAGACAGGGCAGCATTAGGAGCAGATAATATTTGCAGAAAAGAAGGCAAAGTGGTGGCTCCCACATTCTGCCAACAGACCCTATGGAATGTTTACCATGGATTAGCGCACATAGACAGGGATAAAATGATACTAATTGCTGGTGGTGGAAAGGAATGTGTAGAGCGATAGCTAAATTTTGCCAGAGATGCACTGCATGTGCACAGACAGAACCAGGACAGGGAATTAAAATTAAAATGAGCCATCAGTCCCGCCCACAGGTTTAGTTTACCAGACTAGTTTACCAGACGGGTAAAAGCCTTCCCTACAAAGGGTTGGACTGCAACCTCAGTGGCAAAAATATTGGCAGCTGAAATAATACCTGTGTCAGGAGGGTTACCTTACAACTGTACTCAGACCGAGGAACCTACTCCACGAGCAAGTGCCTGAAGGAAGCATGTAAACTCTCGGGAATAACTCAAAGGTATCATATCCCCTACCACCCATAGAGCTTGGGTATGGTAGAGAGAATTAACAGAATGCTGTAAAATGGTCTGATCAAGGCAATGATAGGAGAAGAGATTAAATGGACCCTTTCCCTATCAGCCACAACACCCTCAAGGGCCACTGGACTAACAACCTTTGAGTTCATGACAGGACAAGCAATGATACTCCCCAAGACCTAATAATGGGGGGAAGCAGAGCTGACAAACAGCAAGGGACAGGTCTGGGATTACATGAAATCCCCCTGCCAGCATCTACACGTACTTCACCAACAGGCACGAGACCGGCAGCTTGTCAAGGACTGGAAGTCTGAGGGACACCCAGGACGAACAGAAATGCCAGCCCCAGGATCAAGGGTCCTGGTGAAAATAATCCCTAGCAGGGGAGCATTGTCCCCTCGATGGGATGGACCTCATGAGGTAGTATTAACAGGTAACAGAAGCGCACTTCTTAATGACAATGGAATTGGTAAATGGAGATATCCTACACAGCTAAGGGTATATAAGGGTTAATAGTGTAACAGTCCAGCCTGCTAGTCTGGTATTCGTTCTTTCACTCTCTGTCTCTCTTGCTGTCTCTCCCGCTTGCAGGTTTTAAAGGGCTCTCATCTCTGGGATCACCAACAAACAGCAGGAACAGGATCATTCACCCCAGGACGGCAATTGGAATAGATTAAATTTGCATATAAATATATGTGACGCAGTTGCACGGTGGAAACTGTAATTACAAAATTGCTGAAATTACAGTGAGTATGAAAGCGCTAATCCTCTGTGGGCTTCGTTAAACTCTGATCCCATCAGAGGCTAATAGGCGAGTGGAAAAGAGAGAGTTGAACGTGAACACCTTTTTATACCTATCTGACACATATGCAAGAAAGCAAAACATGTCCAGTTGCAGGGTCTGTACACATATCCCCATACATTCTAAGGGAGGGATATCCCTGTGAACCATCCTCTTTAACACCTCGGACCTAGCTGAATGGGTAATGAGGAAGAATAGTTCCTGACAGGGTGATAGAGATGGGCAGCATACCAATGGTGGGTGGTACCTCGTAAATACTGACCGAGATACAGCACAATGGAAATCATCAGGTTATAACCTAACCACCTTTGCAGGACGGTACCAACTCAACTACAAGACTTCATGACTTCTCCCACCCCCAATTCCTCACATTGACTTACACATCAGGAATAGGGAGACCTGATGGCTTGAACAGCCTGACAAGTGTTGAAAATCAGAGAAAAGGAATGCCCATGGGATTTAGTAACCAGAATTATGACATCTCCACCTCTCTCAGGACCCATCAGTATGTCCTTCTTGATCAAGGGAACCCAAATGTGTCTCTCCTCGCAGAGGGTGGCCCTAGCCTGTTGACCTTCAAGAACCACACGAGTAAAGGAATGTTCCAACAATGCTGGTACCCCGAGATGATCACCTGATTCACCCCGTCCAACGGCACCTACATTGTGTGCGAACACAGACCCTATGCCTGGCTACTACCATCCTGGACACGGTCATGTTACCTGGGCTATATCGTACCATTTATGCACCACACAGCATCCCTCTTGAAGGA